ATTGTGACAGCATTGAAGGGGTTTTCCAAGTATTTCCAAACTTACTTCGCCTTTGCATACATTTTCGAGCTCAGTTAATCCTAAGCTCGAAAACTTTGAAACATAACAGTGGCGAGATAGTTTCAAATTAAAAAGTAAACTTGCGACAAAACACTGACTTCCAACCGTTCCGACCATGAAAAAGTCAGATATCTACTAAATGAGATTTAGTGAGATTTGCAGTAAGATCAGATCACCACTGAGTTTATATAACATTGACATAAAAATCAAAAATTTCAACTAATACTTTCCTAGTGATAGACTACTCGCTAAGATTTATTCTAGCAGTTAGATAGATAACAGTATAGATTGTGAAACTATCCTAGTTATGCTTAGAGATATTCGAGAGCAAACAGGTTTTTCAACCCTCTGGTAACTGTGCTGCTAATGACCAAGGTTGCAGATATATTTTGCTAGATATATTACACCACGATTTTACTCCATTCTCCATACTTGCTTGAATCCAATAAGATCTTAGAGTTTAGCATCTCATCTAACGAATATAGAAAACATTCAATCGAGATATCATATTATATATTTTTACATACAGTTCAAAGCATTTGTTTGCCAAGTTCCAACGCGTTAAAGAGCACCGACTTTTCATCATTACACATTCTCTGTAGTATAAGTCGGCCTACTCAAATGCCGTTTGTGAACCGCACGAAATCGTGCACAACTAAAAAATGACCTAATGAGAATATCATCCCTAAATAATTGCTTAGTAAAAGTTAACATTGCTCAATGAACGTTTTTAGCTCATTCTCGAAATGACTGCACAAATTAATCTCTGGTAGATGGCAAAAAACACAACAACACAACTTGCAACATAAGCAAAACTTACCAAAACTCTTTTCGTTAAGATTTCTTTTTCTTGATTTCTTAATTTCATGCTTCATTTGCAAATGTCCGCACGAAGTGTGGTCCCTACTTTATATGAATTATAGTGAAAACTTTTAAGCCACATTGTCACATAATTATCCACCAAACAACGACAATATACCAACAACAGCAAACACAACGAAGAAATCCGAAATGAACAACATGCACGCGAATAGAAAACAAAGAAATTAACAACAACAACATCGCTGTTAAATGAACTTATAAAAGCCACATTAAAAGTCAATGAGCGGCTAATGGAATTAAGTCACTGACGGCGGCTTTATTGCTGTGTATGTGTGTGGATGTGAAGTTGTGTGCTCTTAGTGTGACCAGCGAAAATATGCTATGAAAAATACCCGTTTTAAATGTAATGCACGTAATGTCATTAAAATGTTGATTACGAATAATTAAGAAATTCTGGCAACACTTTTTCGAAGAGTTTTCGGTTTGGCCTTTTCGCTGTTTGGGATTTTCGTAAGTCTCCGTGCTGCATGTTTTTCCAATTATTGTAATTTTTCTTCTTTACTATTGTGTTGTGCTGTTCAATTACGAAACAGCTGCTATTTAATATTAAGCGATGTGTGGCGCAATGAAGCTACAACAACATAAATAAAAAAGTTAAGTATTGTAAGAAAGTAGTTAGGATATATTACTGATATTAAGTTCTTGGAGTACTGACAACAGCAATTTTGATTAATCTGCATGATGAGTTTAACTGTCTCAGCGTGATCTCTAACTTGGAGATCGGACCTAAAACCTTACCAAAGCTTTGTTCGGTATTAATTCCACAGCCTTAGAAGAATACCTATAATAAATAAGAAACCCAGAATTTTTATAAAATATAAAAGCTAAACTTTCGACAGAATTTTCTGAAAAATTGGAGCTGTAATGTTTTCTTTACAGAACATGTAAGAAAATATTTAAAAGAATCTCGATCAAACTGATTTCATATGTACAATATATGCATACAATTTTTACATCCATGAGGCTTTTATTAGCAAATCGTTCACATATATACAAAAACATATGTCTGCTCTCAAAATTCAAGGCTACTGGACAACGGTGGTGAGCTAAATGACAGCTCGCGCCAGCTGAAATACAACATATACATACAAAAAAAAAAACTTCTCATCAATTAATCCTTTTGTGATATTTATTTACTTACGAATTCTTTTTGAAATTTTCGTACCAAATGCTGAGCCTTTTTAAATACTTCAATTTATCCAATCGGCAAAAGAAAAACTACAAAAAAAAAGTTAAAAAATCAGCTCCACTGCTGCAAGCTTAGTGCTACCACTTTTTGCCTTCATTTCTCGCTAATTTATGCAAATTCTCCGACACAATTTACAGGAGACATAATTAGCTTAAGACAGACGGAATTTTTAACGATTTGTCGCATACTACCCAATGTCTGGTTTACTAGCTTCTGACTGCCGCCATGGCCATCACAGCTTCGGTGCTCGTTTTAGGTCATTATCAACGAAGAAATTTGTTCGGTATGCAGGCTTGCTTCGAACAAAGCGACAGAGAAAATGACAAAGAGTAGAGTAGAATGAAAATGCTACTCAAGCAAAAAACGTGGAGCCACAGAACAGTCAAGAAAGTGTTGAATGAAATTACTGTGGAACCTGTATTAAGGCAATAGCAATGAATGTCCAGCATCCGAAGGACAACGCCAATAACAAAACAAAAAATTAAATAGAAGAAAAGACATTGAAATGTGTCTTATGCGGAAAATAATACCCTCCTATACTTCTTTTCAACTTGAACATCTAATACTGCCGACAGCACTAAAGACAATTAAACTGCTGCTGTTAACTAACGAACGGAATAGCGCTCAACTACCGGCATAATAAGCAACAACAAGGGCAAATCAGTTTACGCTCGCCTGGCGTATATAGGAAGAAAGGGAGTCAAGAAAAATAAATAACTGAATCAAAATAACCGTGTCAGCAAACGGAAATAGAATAGGGGACACATTCCGGCAAGGCGGACACAATCAGAAATCGACCTACGGAAGTTTAGTGTGAGATGAAAGAGGAGGAAGAGGATGAGTAGAGCGGGTGAAGAAACTGAAGTTGAGTAATGGGCAGTAGGGTATGTAAACACAGCGAAAGCAGCTCAATGAGGAAGGCGTCTAGTCGCGCCGTTAGGCCAGCACGCGTAGTATACATAACTATTCATTCAATTCATTAAGACCTTCTGAAAGGCTTTGGTGCTTATACCATACCAATAAACAGATGTATGTTTTGGATATTAAACAGTGTATAACGGCTGTTGAAGAGTGTACAAACAATTGTACTACACTTTTTTATAGCTTTTGAAGCGTTATAAGCTTTTCAAGCTTCTGCTAGCTTTTTGAGAGCTTTTATGGAAATTGTTTATTCTAATATTATATTATTCGTTAATACATTTTCAAATTCACACCAAAAATAATAGTTTTATACTAACAGGCAATATTCCTGGTTCTCTTCAAATACACAAAGTCTTGGAGCAGAATTTTACAGAACACCGGAGCAAAACTTAAAATAAATTAGCTTTTTCCAAAAAAAAAATACTATTTTTTATTATTCACTCATCCGATCTCTGTCCAAACCATTTTCTAATGTATGGTGTTAGCATGAAATTACAAAAAAAATATATTTCTAATACAAAATAGCCCACTGTACGAATTCCACCAAAAAGCTAATCCCTGCAACATTGGGTGTGGCAATGAAACATAAAAACCGAAAACTATGCACTGTCTCCTTTGGAAACCTGAACTGCAGCAATCGAGGCATGCCAATGTTACTGCCTACCCTAATCAAATCCCACAACACGTTTCAGCTAAAAAAAAAAAGCATCTATGTATGTAGATGCAAGCACCAACAGACAGCATGAAACTATTCCGAAAAACTGCAAAAGCTCAACAACGAAAATAGCGTCGGAACAATAAATGCGATATGCAGCGAAGAGGAGCTGGCAATGCCGTTGTCGACTTAAATACTCCAACCGCGTTTTTTTCGAACTGCGAAATGCCGCGAAGTCATTGTAGTTTGTTTTGACTGTTGTGGGGTCACCAACAATAAACAATTCGGTTAAGCTTCGCCTGTCTTATTAACTTTAATGATACACGATATTGCCATAAAACATACAAGCAACATGATGACCAAAAGCGTGACGACCCTTTCCAGCTCCTGCAGCAAATAGCACTACTCCTCTTCTTGTATTTATATGTGCTTTCACTGTTGCCGACCCAACAATGTCTATTTCACTTTAGAGCTGACATCTCTTCTTGCCACACTGATTACTCAGATTTCACTCTCCATACACTGCTGCTAGCCAAGAGAGCTACAATAATATTTAAGTGACACACTAAGGCAGTCAGCCAAAAACTTACTACTTGACACTCACATTGCTGTTGGCTAGACACTGGGCGCATTGGTTAAACGATACAATGTCTGGACGTACTTCCTTTCTTTTCTAACATTTTATTGCTCATTCCCTTTGCTCGGCCCCTCACTAAGCTTTTGACGGTAAATGTCAAATGATGCTGTTTTATGTGCTTCCCAAGCATTCTTTATGGAGGCTTTTCCGACGTTCACGTTCTTTGTGGTAAGTTGTGTAGTTGGGCGCGTAATGGAGGTGTAGGTGACAGGATTCATATGTCAAATAAATTGTAATTAGTAGGTGGTACTGTAAGCACATGCTACAGTAGTTTTTGCTTTGTTGAGTAGAATTTTGATATGAATTTATTGAAGAGACTTTGTCATTTATTAACACGCTGTTGGTGTATGCCACAGTATGTAGTGTTAGATGGTTTTCTAATTCATCATGAAACATTCTTAACTGGCTTTAATATCTTAAGAAGCTGTAGATAAACGGCAGAGAGTTTATATAGGCAGAAATTTGAAAACATATGTTAAAATGTTTGCCTTAACCAGCTAACTAAACCACAAATCTTTAAGGATTGCAGATTTTCACAATGTGTTACACCTTACATAAATATTACGCAGAAAACTTTCAAGAATCGCATAAGCGGTAGAAATCATGGTTTTTTGTATCAAAGTTATATTTGCTAAAGTAAACGAAAACCAAACTCATTTGGCATTTAATTACTAATTTGTATTACTTTTAATTTAACTACAATATCTAAAATATTTTATAAGTAAACGAACAAATTATGGTTTTGTGTACTCTCCTCTCTCCAACGAAACTTTTCCAGCTCACGTCTATCTCCATGCGAACTTATTATTCATCAGGCAAGAATATATCACTGCGTACTTTATCGAATTCCGGTGAGGCGCAAGCATGGAACTTGTACACCTTATCACATGCGTTGGTGCCGCCAGCACTCAGACAACCATTAACAATATCCAATAAACGCTGTTCTCCCACAATTTCATACAGCGACTCCTTCATGGCCTGTTTGTTGATGGCGTTGTCCTTATAGAATACTAATTTATTGTAGAGACAATTCACGTAGCACTTCTCCCGATCACTTGGATTCGCCACCCTTATTTTGACCAAATTGGTGGCGAGCTGATCCGTAAAACCATATTCTCCCACACAAGCTTCCTTGGCGTGTTTCAAATTGAGACGATAAGCAATCCAAGCGGTCAAAACTTCGAACTTCGCTGCCAACTCCGGTGTGAGCTGCTTGGGTTTACGTAAACCCGCGTCCGCACTGAAAACGCACAGACTGAGCAGTATTGTCGCCAGGATGCAGCAAACGATAGAGGATTTCATATTTAGCTGATTTTGTGGGTTGTGTTATAGTATATTTTTGTAATGTATAATCAAACTGAATGATTTGCCTACTGCAGTGCAGGTCTTTATATACTCAGATTCTTATCAATTAGTGACGGTTAGACACCCAATCGGGATTAGTTATGATGTAAACGATGCACTATAAGTAATTTCCTGTAATCGCAATATTTGTTTTTCGTTAAATACACAAAGCAATTCTGAATTATCACGAAATATTTATGTCAATGCAATGAAATTCTTGAAATAGGAATATTTCAATAGATGTTGCAGTTATCGAGAGATATCAACAGATGTTCGTACTTAAGTAAGTACTCGTTTATGTATGCTTAGCTGGAAACTAATCTCCGATCATATATGTCTAATGCGAATCTTTTGCTTATCAGTATTGTAATTCAATTTAATTTCAGTTAATCTGCACCTGCAGATAATCTTTGTAAGCTGTAATAAGAGTTTATTTATAATTTTAGATTACTCCGAAATATTCAGTACTAACAATTTTATTTAGAAATTCACTATAATAACATACGATGAAGTTATTACAAAATTATTTAAAACAAAGTAAAACATATTTTGAAAATGTCGAAATGAAAAAAATGTTTAACCTTTCTAGGCTATTTCACGTCTTAATATTTTGACTCCTAAAAGTAGCATAACGGTTTATTACCTGTGCTGCAAGCCACCTATCGGGTATATATCAAGCGTTAATTACCCAACAGCACTACCAGAGATTTCTGTTAAAGATTCTATTAGTTTCTTAAGGTCCAATTGACAATTCTAACCTAAACTCTTGTAAACGTGCGATTATTCGTACACTTATTATGCTCACGATTTCAACTCTCCTAGCAACCTGAAACCAAACAAACAAAATATTTTATTAGTCTACAATAATGTCGCAATGTCTGCTTCTACAGTAAGGTTGAAAGATTTTTTATTCACACATTTGCGACTGTGCGCTTTTTCTCATTCTAAGTCATAAAATTATATATTGGATGCCGGGTCAGCAAAATACCTACATCCCCGAAAATAATTTGAATTATGAAAAATGCTGTGGTAAATATGTTCTTGAATAGTTAAACTTTGAATATACCTATAACACATAAACGATTATTTTTTCTTGCTAGACTAGAATACCCCCTAAATTTATGGTTGCCCTGTTAACAAATGCAGGGTACCTAAGGGATTTTTAAATATTTGTTCAAGATTTGGTTTTTCTAAAATTAAGAAATTATTAAAGTTTTCCGTTAAAATAAATTTATCGATAGCGATTTCCTAAAATTTAAATGCACTTTTAATTTATCTTATATTATGCTTAAAATAAATTGTTTAACTAAGGTAACCCTAAAAGTTTCTAAATTTTGTAACTAATTATGCTCAACAACTGACTACATTATGCGGGTTTTTGAACCGGGCTAAAATTTTCTAAAATACAAATAATTAATTTAAGTGACTCGTTCTTTCAACTACCAATTGATTAGCGAAATCACAAAAGTCGATTGGGATGCTTAACATACTACTTTTTTGTTTTGTCTAAAAAATTTACGACTAAATAAAACTTGTTAGACACAAAACAAAGGAAATGTATGCGTAGAGGACTTATTACAAATATTATCTACCTCCTTTAAAGTAAGAATGTATTAGAATGAATACTTGCGTAGGGGAGTGGTTGGCAACGCTATTGCGAAGTAAGCCATCCATTTAGAAATGTAATTCAATAATGAGTGAGTTTTCTTTTTTAATTTTCCATACATTCATTTATATTTTAATGTGTATTTCATACTTATTATATTTCAGTCAAGACTAACATAGACTTGGGTACCATTTCGAAAAAATACGAATACCACTTCGGAAAAAAGAAGCTAGATCAACCCTCAAGCTCTAAAGCTCAAAAAAATATTTACTTATTATAATTATAAATTCCATTATATAGGTATACATAAGCAGCTTATTCATGGGTAGCGCGTTTGACTGTTAACCGAAATGTTGGTGGAGATATTATCATACAGTTTTTATAAAAAGATTTTGAAGCAATTATGTATAGGTAGTAGAAAAGATCGTGAACAAGGTATACATATCTAGATACTCATTAGAACAAAATGCCTCAAAATTTTTTTAACCAAAAATTTTATTTTTACTTAAAATTTGTATATATTCTACATTCAAAAGACATCTTAAATAAATTGTTTTAAATAAATACATAAACTCAAATTAATAGAAATTATCTATTCATCCGGCAAGAATATATCACTGCGTACTTTATCGAATTCCGGTGAGGCGCAAGCATGGAACTTGTACACCTTATCACATGCGTTGGTGCCGCCAGCACTCAGACAACCATTAACAATATCCAATAAACGCTGTTCTCCCACAATTTCATACAGCGACTCCTTCATGGCCTGTTTGTTAATGGCGTTGTCCTTATAGAATACCAATTTATTGTAGAGACAGTTTACGTAGCACTTCTCCTGATCACTTGGATTCGCCACCCTTATTTTGACCAAATTGGTGGCGAGCTGATCCGTAAAACCATATTCTCCCACACAAGCTTCCTTGGCGTGTTTCAAATTAAGACGATAAGCAATCCAAGCGGTCAATACTTCGAACTTCGCTGCCAACTCCGGTGTGAGCTGCTTGGGTTTACGTAAACCCGCGTCCGCACTGAAAACGCACAGACTGAGCAGTACTGTCGCCAGGATGCCCCAAACGATAGAGGATTTCATATTTAGCTGATTTTGTGTTTTGTGTTATAGTATATAACTGTAATATATAATCAAACTGAATGATTTGCTGACTGCAGTTCAGGTCTTTATATACTCATATTCTTATCAATTAGTGACGGTTAGACACCCGAATCGGGATTAGTTATGATGAAAGCGATGCACTATAAGTAATTTCTTGTAATTGCAATGTTTAATTTTCGTTAAATGCACAAAGCACAGTTATCACGAAATATTTATTTAATGCAATGGAATTCTTAAAAAAGAAACTATTTTAATATTCGTTGCAATAATCAGGAGACATCAACAGACGTATAGCTTCGCATGAAATTAATCTTCCATCATATATGTGTATTAGAAATCTCTCCCTTATCAGTTTTGTAATTCAACTTAATTTCAGTTAATCTGAATCTGCACAGAATCTTTGTAAGCGGTATATAAATTTTATTTGATTAAAATAAAGTAAAAAACTTGGTTGTCGAAAAAGAAGAAATTTTACTTTTTGTAAGATACTTCTCATTTTACTATTTTGGATCCATTTCCTATAAGTGTCAGCCCTTTGGATAATTAAGTATTGTTTTAACAAATTCTGTTAAAAATGAAAGCACAAAGGCCGAGCAATACTGTCGCCAAAATGCTGCAAGTGATCGAGGATTTTATGTAAGCTGGTTTTGTGGTTTGCATATGCTAGATAATTGACCACAGTTAAAGCAATCTAATATTTTATATACCTGAGTTGTAATATTGTTGTAATATTGTTACAGTACAAATGTCTTTACTGCAAATTATTGCGAATTTTTACTGCACGATTTTTATTGTAAAGTAAGCCGGTTTTTGCTGTATGCTGGATTCCCATGAAATGTGTAATTCATGAGAATGAAGATTTTGCTGATAAGAAATATTATTAATTTATCGCCTGCGAAGCTTAATCTCTCGCGTGACACTGAAAATAAATATTTCTACACTTTAGGCATACATATACATATCACCTTAACTCGTAGTTTGTCTTACTTTTCTGGAATTGAAATAATCCCTGTTAGCATGAATTGTAAATTCCATCGAAAATGTCTTATCAAAAAAACTTTGATTAGCTCGTGATGGGTGTGAATTGATAGAACATTTAATTATCTTAAATTCAAATAACATATTACGGTTAGTAGCAATTCTTCCTAATTTCCTTATTTAATTATTTTAATATTTATATAACCTATAAATATTTCAAGCATATTTTCTTTCTCTTACAATTATATAAAAAAAAATCAATCAATAGTATTGCATTTACTTGGAATACAATATCCAATATTCTTTCTCAATTTGTTAAAGAAAATAGGAAAAACAATAATAAATAGAGAGGTTAAGAGAGTTAATGTTATATTCTATATAATTTTTATCTCCTCATTAAAGTTGTTTATAAAACCCATTTTTAACCAATGGTCTTTGAAGCCTCCGTGGCGCAATTGGCTAGCGCGTTCGGCTGTTAACCGAAAGGTTGGTGGTTCGAGCCCACCCGGGGGCGAAAAGTATTTTGCAATATTAGTTTATATGAATTTCAAAAAATTTTATCATTCATAAAGTCACTGTCACACTTAAAGCGCCGTATTTATGACCCACTTAAAGCTAATTGATTTAAAATGAAGTCGAATAATCATTCATATTGATAAGATTCAGTATAATCGAGATAATGGACACATCTATACACATACATATGTAAATGCGTTTGAGAGCAAATTTGCTCGGGCTTGAACGACTGCTTTTAGGTAATAACGACGATCGTCAGCAACAGTGCGTTTACGGCTAGCAACTTAAAGCATCTACTAAACTACTAATTTGCTATATATTTACAACAAAATAACAACAACTAGCAACTGATGTAATTATTGTATTGTAATAAAAAACAACCTTTAAAAATTTACTACCGAACAGTTCTCAGAATGCCTAGGAAGTATTTCCATTATTTTCACACCTAAATTATGATTAGTATAAAAGCTGGGCTTAGTTTAATTTTCATACACAGTTGAATTAAAGCTACTATAAGCAACTGGCGAAATATATTAAGAAAGCACGTCGATTTACCTGCACGTTTAATAAAATGCAATTGATTTTGCTATTCACGGTCAGCACACTTATAGTGGGCAGCATTGACGCCGCCATTGTGTCGGGCACTCAACACATTACTAACGATTTGGATAGACAGATTAGAGACCTTTATAAAGCCAGAGATGTCAAAGATGGTTTAAATGCGGCCGCAGAGTATTTCAAAGCTCCACAGGCATACAAACAAAATTTAAAAATCAGAACCAAGGGGAGCCTTGCTGCAGCTGTCGAATACTTCAAAACACCCAACGCGGGGGAACTTCGAAGCAATGCATTAATTTTGGCACAAGAAAGATTAGCCGCCGCTGCTGAATACCTGAAGGCACCTGAGTTTCCAAAGCGTCTTTCCAGAACCAACGTGGAAAGTGCACGTGCTGCCGCTGCCGAGTACTTTAAAGCTCCGGAATCGCAGCGACATAACACAAGGAGGAATCGAACGGCAGAAAGGTTAGCCGCCGCTGCTGAGTACTTTCGATTACCTGAGAATTATTCAAAGGTTAATGTTGCAAAGACGAACCATGCTGCAGCTAAAAGGCCGTTGTTCAGCCAAAGGAATAAGATTATTCGTCCACATCTATATCTAGTTTAAATAATTTAATTTTGATTTAATTATAATTTTATAAATATAAATTTTAATAAAATTATATACAAATTCATGCAAAATGATGGCTGAAATCACCAGCACGAGATTATAAACATGTAATAACTTTTCGCAAATTCATTATCGATAACTTATGCGGAAAGTAGCTTTCATCTTCACAAATTTTAGAGCATTAACAAACACTAGCTATTTTCTTTGGTTGGCACAGTTCTCTCAATACTCTCTGCAAGATTCCAAAATCTCTTATGCTTAACTAAAAGTGTAAGTCACATTTAAAACTACAAAAATAATATTTTAGGATGTAAGTAATACTTTTTGACGGATTTTGAAAGAGTGTAAAATAGAAAGCATTAGCTTTCCAATTGTAAGATTTCTTATGAATACACATATTTTAATCAATTAATGATTTAAACGCTCGGAAGGAACGTAAAGAATGAGGCTTTTCAGAAGTAAGTTAGTTAAAAAGCTTTAAACCAAATATATCAGTAAGTCTTTAAGCCACTGTACTCATAAAGCACCGCTATTTATAGACTCATTAAAGCTAAATATACTGTATAATTATAATTAATTTTAAATGAAGTTAAATAATCATTTATGTTGATAAGATTCAGTATAATCGACATATATCTACATAATTGTATATACTTGTATATACACCTACATATGTGTATAAAACTGAGAACAAAAGTGATCAGACTTGAACAACTGATAAGAACTAATATTACGAGTATCATCATAGACAACCATCAGACAACAGCGCGTACGGCTAGTGCCTTGACCCATCAACTAATCAGCTATATATTTACAATAAAATAACAACAATCAACAGCTGGTGTAATTATTATATAGAAAAAAAAAAACATTTAAAAAATGTAGTACCCAACAATATATGACAATAACAATTCGTATATAAGTTCGGTTTAGTTAAATCTTCATTCACAGTTTAATCACAACGACTATTAGGCGCAGTCGAACTATATTTAGAAATAAAATTGTTACAATTTAGCTTTAAATAAAATGAAATTGCTTTTGTTATTCACGGTCACCACTTGCATAGTGGTCCGCATTGACGCCGCCATATTGTCGGATACTCAACACATTACTAACGATTTGGATAGACAGATTACAGATCTTTATAAAGCCAGAGATGTCAAAGATGGTTTAAATGCGGCTGCAGAGTATTTCAAAGCACCACAGGCATCCAAACAAAATTTGAAAAGCAGAACCAAGGAGAGCCTTGCTGCAGCTGGCGCATACTTTAAAACACCCGACGCAGGTGAACTTCGAAGCAATGCACTAAATTTGGCGCAAGAAAGATTAGCTGCCGCTGCTGAATATCTGAAAGCACCTGAGTATCCAAAACATCTTTCTAGAACCCAAATGGAGAATGCACGTGCTGCCGTTGCCGAGTACTTTAAAGCTTCTGTACCGCCGAGGCATAATACCAGGATTGATAGAACGGTAGAAAGTTTAGCTGCGGCTGCTGAGTACTTTCAAGCACCTGAAAATTACTCAAAGATGATTAAAGTTGCAAAGAAAAGCCTTGCTGCAGTCAGAAAGCCGCTGTCCAGATCAACAAAGAAGACTCCACGTCATCGATTTGTGCGCCTAGGTTAATTTAGAAGGATTAGTTAATTTATTGTTGTTCTATAGTATAAGTTTTAGAAATTATATGTATTACGTAGCAAGAATTCATAGTTGAATATAACATTGAGTCCATGAGAGTTCTAAACATTCTGGTTCTATTTTTGTTTTGACTGATTTTGAAAAGTTCTAAATCTGAAAGCGTACGAAAGAAATCAGGAATCTTATTCCTAAGCAGAAAATCTTTACTTATTCTTTCGATCAACTATATATTTGCCGCTTTTGTCTTTTGAAGAATAATTAGCTTAAGGGAAGCTCACTAGAACTTATGGCCAGATGATGAAGTTATGAGTGCTTAAAACAGGAAAGCAAAATTAACAATTCTTTCATAAATCCACTTGTAACAATTTCTACGCAAGCAACTAAGCATATATAATATTTTCAGCCTTATCCACTCCTTAATAAGTTCATCACATTCTCGCACTCTCTTATGCCATCATTTTTGTCTCTTTCCACTATAATTGCTTTGTTGGGGCTAACCACTGTAAGATGTGAATATCAACGTCACCACAACATGACGTTGATAATTCTATGGTTCCACACCGTTGCAGAATTCATGCTTCAGCGAATTTACATACAAACAAATACGTACACATGTGAAAGAGTCTGTGTGTAAGTCGTAATGTAAGTTAAGTTGTTTGTACTTCCGTTAAAGTGTCGCTTGCCGCATGCCACCATCAAGGGTATGTAATCAGTTCAACAATATGCCATCTACTTATGTATACTGTATGCCCCGCCACTTCACACTGTACGTATTAAGTTGGGAACTGATATGAGCGGTGGATATTTGCTTTGAAAAGCCAAAAAAAAACTTTACTCAATTCAATTCAATTTAGTCGGTGACACCTGATGGAAAGTGCTACACACTCTTAGATGGCGAAAGGTACACCTAAGCGTTCTTGAGGTGATTACCATATGTGCCGCCAAGATTTCGTCATGCTTCCGCAACTATTCACAAATAATACATACATATACAATGTGAAGAAAAATAAATGAAGTTTGAAAATTCTGAAGGGCTTATGCAACAGCTGCCAGCAGTAAATTGCATATTTTTGTTACAAAGAAATTCATGTTTTATTTCCTTCTTAGCAGTAAGAAGTTTATGATATAAAAAATGCGGCAAATTTTGTATTGAACGTCTGCTGAGGGATTGGTTTCGAAAAGTGTACCTCAAAATAATTGAAGCTAATTTTAAGCTAACCTAACAAGTCCGTTTTTTCAATAAGACCGAAAGCAAGAATCAAAACTTTTACATGTTTTAAACCTTAACCAGGTTCTTGAAAATCCAAATGCACAAGAGCCTTGATTGTACGACGATTAGTTTATATACCAAAAGAGTCCAAAACCTCTAACCGACAACAGAATATAACGCGAGAACTAAGAACGAAAGCAACCGTAAGTCGGCTTAAACTCTGAAAAACAGCAAGATTAATAATAAATGACTGAAGGTATCTTCAAATCTGGTGAGAAGGAAACAACTGTAGGAGTAATGTAACCTAATTTCTCCTTCTTATGGCGTTTTGAGATTCGTTATCTTTGAAGTATGAAGAGATCTTATAGCCACAAGCACCGCTTCAGACTTACTGAATGGATCTGACGTCAATACGCATGATGATTTGATTTTCAAAACGTTTTCTTGGAAGAATTTTCCTCAAAAACGGCTCTGTGACTTTTTTGAGAAGCATTTAAAAGAAATTTTCATAGTAAAAACCTAAAAAGAATACTTCATTATTCCCATTTGAAGGTTATTCGATATGGTTAAACGTCTGAATCCTCAAAAGATATGCACAGAGTGCATCTAATATTATTAGAAAATATGTAGAAAAAAATCTTAGAGCCTGAACAATGATTATTTAGCAGAAGATTGGGTTGTTTAGAGCACTCAAATATCGTTAGAAATCTTTCAGACAATCAAGTCCTTCACCAAGTTTTATAATCTTCAAGTTAGTAAACGATAAGGTTATGCCTTTTTTTCAATATTAAGTACAACACATTTTTTTTTAATATACAGACAAAAATGTGCAAAAGTTCTAAACAAATCAGCTTTCCCCGCAATCAAAGACATTGTCCTAGCTGTACGCTAGCTGCTATCTTCTAAAACTTCTTTCACAATGTTTTCCAACACAAAGATTTCCAACCAAAATATTCACATAACAGCAGAAGTCAAAACTTAAACTTCACCATTACAATAACAATATCACACTAATGGCATGAAAATGCAAATTGACCACGCCCACTTCAAAAAAATGACAACAGAGACACATTGCAGTCTACATTGAGTTGTCACAATTTCACTCCCAGAGGCTGCCACTGCTGCTGCTGTTTATGCAAAACGTATTAGTTTATTTGTTTTCTTGTTATTACTTATATATTTCACTTTTTTCAAACACTCTCCGTTTGCACACAGCCATAGCCACGCACAAGTGAGTCCTCTTAGTCTCCTGAGCACAATCAGCAAATTTGTCGGCGAGAAAGTTTCGCCTTCAGTTGCGAATATTCCCGCGTGAAAGTGCGATATGGAAATCAAATTGTGTATGGGGCACCTAGGAAAGCTATTATAAAAGCTACAACAACCGCGGCGGTGGGGTGGTCGGATTGTGTTTATTTTCCCACAACTATGCTACAACGCTGTTGTTTTCACTTGTCAGCGTGCGCTTATCACTTGCACACGCTCGTCATAATCCTCGTGCGGGTATTCATTTGGTACTTGGCAAGTTTTTTTTATCTGCAGACACTTTCTTCGCACTTTCTCCTATTTGCCAAACTCCAAACTCGCATTCTTAACATTGTCTCTATAATGTCTTCACCGCTGTTTTTTACATTGGCTCGGCGTCACTAGCTTTGTCGATAAACGCTCCCGTAGGTGCAATATTGCTCATTTCCTCTTCATTTCCATATCGAATTGCCAGCTACTAATTTCTTCCTTGCGCTGGTGGCTCGCGCTTTTGGAAAGAATGCGTAAGGATTTTTGTTCAGTGAAAAATGCGGTTGGTAGAAATATGGTTAGCGGCGAAATAGAATTGTAGCAGATAAAAGTTTAAAGGAGTCTACTGAGAAGCGAAAGAGAAACAGAGTACTTACTATTTAATTTTTTGAAAGCACGAAAATTTGATTTCCATAAAATACGAGTATTAAAAGTAATCAGAAATAATATCTATAAAGTGATAATACTTGAATAGCCATAAAAACTTGAGTAGATTTTGAAGTCTTCATAAGATAAATTTTCCTCCTTAAACAGTAACACACCATAAAGCTTATATTGTGAAAACGAAAGAAATAGCGCATAAGAATTACTCTGTTCCAGCACTCTTAGCATAAATGAGAGCAACTTCAAAAGCTTGGCAATACGAATTTTTGTCTCTGATGAGAAGGAAAGAGAGAAAGCAACCGACATTGTCTCCGCGAGAGGAGAACTCCAGTTATAGTTATGTAATTAGTTCATTCTCTTTTTATTTTACAAATATGCCAAAACGATTATACTCAGTGCGGAAAATTATGCTTCAAACAGTCAAAATGTCAAAAGTAATGCCCGTAGTTGCAACGTACAAATCAGTTGTTCTCTTTTGTTTTGATTTAACCAATGTTGCCATTATTCAATTTGAATATACGATTTTTCACACATTTAGTTTTTTAGTTATAATTTTTCGTAATGTAAAAGCTCAAAACTGAAATCAAACTATTAAAAATAGTCTACCTATTTATAAATAAATGTATACGACTGTGGTGTTAAGTTATTTTAAAAATATTTCAAATATACTAAAGTTTATTTTTTAATTACTACAAAAAATCGAGACTGGCAACCATTGCGTTGCAAAAGATTGCCCTCTCACTCTCAGCTCACTCGCGGATATGCTACCGTACGGTTTCTAGAAGCAGACGGTAGTAGCGGTGGTAAGTGTTCATTTACACTACGCTCTCATAAGATAGGTCGCATCAGCTGATTCGGTCCACGGTCTTGCGTTAGTGACCGTTTAAACTATTACTCAAAATACTTACTCTCGTTATGCAGAATTTTTACAAATTTTCGATAAACTTCTTATCGTTTTTTTTTATGTTCATCGATGTTAGGATCACGTAGGCCGTTCTTATTGAACTTTTGATTAACATTATTTATAATCCGAATATTGTTGCTCTTTTCTCTTTATTAACCATACGAAGCTCTTTTTCTTAAAACGAATCTACTTACATGACACACTCATAACAATTTTCTTAGAAATCATAATCAGTTCAATCATACTCTTTATCCAGAAAATTGCAGTAAAACACAAACTTACTCCAAAAAAAATCATATATGACGGTATTTCGGTTTTACACACACATTTTGGTGCCTAAAATATTGATGAGCTGCTAAATTTGTCAATCTAGGACCTGCAAACAGGAGAGAGTGTAATAATAATTACAACAAATGAGCAGAAAAGTAATACAGTGAACTCCATTTGGAAAAGTGTTTCATGAATCGCTGAAACTGAAACCTAAAAAAACAATTCACAGAATAGGCGTGTCTGTTTGTTTGTATTTCGAGCGACTAATAAATGTTAAAAAAAAGCGTTGATTAAGAGAAATTACCAAAAACAAAAAAAAAAAAATTGTTTGCAAACCTTAATAAGGCAGAACATATATTACAACAAAAATTTTAGAAGAGTGGTTACAAATTATTAGCATCAACAACACCGTTGGAACAAAAAGCTCATGATTAAAGGATGTACAAATAAAAAAGGCATGAGTACACAAGCAAAACAGGAAAAGCTGGAAAAAACAATGAACAAAAAACCTTAAACAACGGCTTGGCTTTATTGCCAAGAAAATGGCAATTAATTATCCGGCGCAGCACATGTGTGCTTGCCTGCACACAGTCTGTCGCACTTAGCCGCGGGCGGTAGCACACATACGTAGGGGAGCGGAAGGATTACAGGCGCAAAACGTCAGGCAGTCGGGTTGTATGTGCTGAGGTCGACGTTTGATGCCGTCACCTCGTTTGCGGAGCTTTTTGATATGGTGTTGTGCGCAATGCAAGGGAAAAGTGATTAAAAGTAAACGATGGTGAAGTGTTGTTGCACGCATGGAGTCGCATAGAGATAATTTCCATTT